GGCGTGTTGTCTGGTGGTGGTTCCGGCACAACCTCCTCCGCAGGAAGCGGCTCTCCGTCCGGGCCCAGAACTACGTTGGCTGGGGGCGCCAGACCTCCGGCCGCGTTTCCACCGAGAGAGGGGCCACCGGGGGCTGGAACCTCTGCCTTCTGACTCTCTGAGGACGAGAGACAACCTCAGTACTCTTAGTAGTTGTTTGAGGAAAAGAGAAACACACTGATGAGATTTTTAAAAACATGGGTGGTGAAGAAGAAAGACCTACCAGCCACACCCTCCCCAATCAATACATCGAGACAAAAGAATATAAGGCAAATAAATCCCTTCTAGAACTAAAAAAAATGAAAAAGCATCTCATTTATGTCATATATCTTTAAAAAGATAATGCTCAACTCACTCCATTACAAAAGGAGAAACATTTCGGTACATCTATTCATTTTCAGACTTGTATTTTGTCATTTATAAAATATGAAATTCTCTCTGCTAATCAGTATTTCACTCCCTTTTGTATGAACATCACTGAGAACCAGAACAAAGTCATCTGTAGACATCCAGAAGAAGCCTCAATGATTTCAACTTGAAGAAACACCTTTGCCCTGGCAAATTGACTTTTTGGGCAAAAACTTACCAGTAGCCCCTCTCTATCTCTCCTTCTCTCTCTCTCCTTCTCTCTCTCTCTCTCTCCCTCTCTCTTTCCCTCTCTCTTTCCCTCTCTCTCCCCCTCTCTCTCTGTCTCTCTCTCTCTGTCTCTCTCTCTCTCACATCCAATTCCACAGCTCACCTTTGACCTTGTCAGGTTTCCCATCATCAGTTTTGTTAGACTGGCGAGACTCGGGACGCTTGGTCTGACTACGTTCCTTGGAAGCCGACCCTCGACCCGCCTGTGGATACGGGCACAAAAGTAGAAGATGGAGGATGGTAATGGGGTTCTCTGGTAACAGGAACAAAAACAAAGGACAAAACAAATGTTTAACAAAATTGTACACTCTGGTCCTCAGAATGGTCACATGACTTCAAAATTATCCTCCCTGGCAAGATAGTACATTAAAAGTGATCAGCTGATTGCTCAAAAGACAATACATAAAGACAGGCAAAAGATCAAAGCAAAAAAAGCGGGAGAATTCTGAAGTACAATGAAACTTAACAGCAAAGTCCAAATACTGCCCAAAAAATTATGACAATAGAAGCTCTGCAAAGACATAAAAGAGGCTGACTATATCACAGAAACCAGCAACCACCCTCAAATGTTCAGTTGATTTGGTAAAGAAGGTCACATCATCTTTGTGAGCACTGGTAATATCCACATTAATTAATGGTCAGTTTGACTTAAGCACAGCCTCACTGACCACAGCGTTTCCTCTCACCTTGCCAGATGCCTTTCGTTTGGGCGTCCCAGGCTTCTCTTTGGGCGGTTCCTCCTCCTGATAAACCACGCCA